TATATATATAATATATATAATTTTTACAATGTAATGCATCACTGCAATATTTATAATATTTTTATTTTACTTGTGCAATATATGCCACAGAGGTGGATCAATATATACTTTTATTTCTAAATAAAAATAAATTTAATTAGTATCCTTGTAATGAACTTGTGAATGAATGAATATTTATTGGACATGTGGTATTGAAAAGTACTTTCTTATTATTATCACATATAATTTTATTGTACATTCATAAATATTAAGAATGTGATATTGAGATTTAATATGTGATCATACTATATAATTCATATATATATATATAAAATATACCTTAATGGTATACTGTGCAAGTTTTACTTTCCTATAGAGTTTTGTATTAACTGTGCAAAACGATTTGTAACAAAGAGGGAAACATCTATAAATCTATCGACGCAATTGTTTATACATGTTTCTGTACGGCCATCTAATTTACTTCCTGGCTTATCAACGCATTTGTCCCAACAAAAATCGTTGAACTCGTGAATCTAAGAAAATTTAAAAATTTTCATGAAACTTTTACAAATAAACATTTTTTTTCAAGTAGATTGGCAAGCATTTCTTAAGAATAATGAGTACATTCCGTTTTTTCCACCTACATGCTGTAAATATCAATTCATCCTTATTGTCTATCAAATATTAAACAAAGACAAATGATACTTACAAACCTGTAAGCATAAAATGGAACGCATTTTATGTGTAAAATAATGTTGAAATAATTTGGAAAAGCAGATTCATTTTAATAAAAATTTATCTGTTAAAATGTTTCACCTGTGCAGTGAATTGTGCTTTTTGCTTCTCGACCATTAGAAGTTCTGCTAATTCGGGATCGATTCCTTTATTGTCCTTGTCAGAATAGGAATTGTTGTCAAATAGATCTGACATATTTCAAAATTGCGATGAAGTCAGTTTGAAAAAAATCTTATTGTGTAAATATAGACTCTTTTTAAACGTGCTCAAAGGCTGATTTCGTTAATGCTGATTAACGCTAGAGACCATGGTGGAAGCAGAAAAATCTGAGAGAACACATGACGGGCCAAAACCTAGTAACTAAAGTCACTAGATCTATAAAGTACCGCAAATATTTTCTCGTACGTACTCGCATCTATTTTCACGCGAAACGTGGCCATTTCGAATTTATGCATTTGTATTACATGTTTTATTTGGGAAAATGAAGCCGTTAAGTATGTAAATAAATATTTTTTAGTTGTAATTAGTTATTTATGAATAAAAAAATATGTACGAATGCTCAATTTATGTTCTTTAGTTTAATACTTTTAGGATTTATTTGTCGTAGAAGTTTTGTGCATAAAAGTGCGAAAGATATGTGTAAGTACAGTTCAGAACTGTTCAGGAATACGAAAGTACACATTACATGTGTGATCGCATGAGCATTTTTATGTAGACCCTGGTGTACTATGTGCACTTTGGCTATTTTTACGTGACATTTCTGAAATTAATTGCGGTTTATAATCTAGTGATTTACTTGTAAGCAAAATGCTGCCGCACACTACTACCCTCTGACAAAGTGGATGTAAATTATATAACTTTACTTTTCTTAGGCTACATCGTCCACTTTTCAAAGTTGGAGATGATAAATCGATATTTGGATATTCATATAATCATGTTACATATAGATTTTGAGCCATCATGTTCTCTTTCAGATTTCTCTCTGATTGCAGTCATAAAAATAAGGAGATCTAACTATATGAATTGGAAGTAATCATGAAAAATGTTCCGTATACTGTCAGGTTCGCTGAATGGAATAACTTGCAACATTTTGTCGCCATATTGTGGATAACAGCTGGTAAAAGACAGGAATTCCATTTACTGTCAAAGCATCAAAAATATATGATTCTATCAGAGAGAAACCTCTCTCTGATTCATCGAACTAGAATTCCATCGAACTAGAATTCCATGGATTTTGTGAAAAATCCATTAGTCTCTGATAACTTCAACGGCACTCTCGAAACAAATACACGCGCAACGAACCGGCTACGATTCATTTACGTTCAATTAAATCAGTGACGAGGATACGTTTGTTCCTCCGTCGTTGAATTTTTACATAAAAAGAACGATTTTACTCAAGTAGTTAAACTTAGATATACATATAATTCAGATAGATCCGAAAATTTTTTGATACTTAAGAAAAACCATTCTTTTCATGTATATTATTCTCGAAGTACTGAGCCCTTTCACTTCGTCAAAGTTGTACCTATGAAAAGAAAGATATTATCTGAAAAATGTAACATAATATTAGCAGTATTAACTATATTACTATGCAATTATTGCGGTTAATTTTTAAAAATGAATATCAAAAAATGAATATTCAATCTATCACTATTGCAAAATAAATTCATAACAGATAAAAGAGTTGAATCTCTTATTATGATGTGTAAGATGTAATGATTAGGGTCAATCGAATGGACTGAAGATTAATAAAAAGAAATATTTCTTTTATTACAAACAAACATTTCCAAAGTTACGTTTAATTTTATTACTATTATTATTATTTTATTTTATTTTATAATTTTATAGGGAACTTTTAATGTTACAGAAATAAATACTATCAATATATGTACAATTATATATGATACATATCTATGTATATATATTGTATATATATTTAACACATATATATGTAATTAAAAAGTGTACATAAAAATTAAGAATACAATAAAAACTAAATATCTAGTTTTCTACATTAATAAATGATATTATTTTTACAAAAATAATTTTACGCGCGTTTAATTTATAAAATGTTATATTGCTTATGCATTAACTTCTACATACTTCTACAAACTTCATTGAAGTTATCAGCTTCAACTCGTCAATACATGTCATTCAAGTGTGAATAAAAAGCATTATATGTGGTGAAAGAAGCTAGACAAGGTGTAACAGAGTGCACATAATGCTCATTGCACATGTTCTTTTTACATCATGATTAACCAATAAAATGCTAGTCATTCAAATGCTAGTTAATTAAATACTTCTTTTTTTTGGACAAATTGACTATCTGCGCAGCTTTGAAATTGTTACAACTTGTTTTCTTCCATCATATTATTACGTATCTTTGAACTTCTAAAATAAAGATATAATATTGCAAAGATAGTTACGTTCATATTTGTTTATGTCCCGTAATAATACATACACATGAATAAAAATTCCGCGAAAATAAAATAATCTAAATTATCTATGTATAGGATGTTTTATTTCGCTCAATACTTGTTAGTTGATATGTACATACTGCATTCACTAATCATACATATCTTACAGTAATTCGCAGAAAGTATCTAGAGGAAACTCTGTGGAAATTATTTTTTTAAATTCTTATGAAGAGTATTAAACGCGTTCATATCTCGTGCGGCAAGAACTAATTCAAATTGCTAATCGATGTTTCGAAAACGATGACGAAGATAGACAGCACTGGCACCATTATTAATTATTGGTTTGTTTTGCAGTTTGGGCATGTTCGAATATCCTCTTGAACAAAAACTATATCTTTCTTACCTGTATACTTTGATGGAGCTATCTTACATATTCCTTTTACTATTCATACTACTGATTCATACTATTGATACTTGGGAGAATAAGATAGTCGATTGGATAGAAATCATAAATGTGATCACCGCGATTACTTCATACTTGTCAACCACTTTTATTTTAAGGTAAAATTTTAAAATGTACTCATGCAATAGTCTATTAGCTTTTAATATTATTTGATTTATTAAAATTCCTTATCTTTTATTTAATCATTTTCTTTATTGAGAGTATTAAAGTCTTGATCTCACAATTACAGCAAATACAAATTTATAACAAGTTTTTAAACAGATCAACTTTAATAACATTCTTGAGATTTCCACGAGTGCTTTCTATATAAAGATTATGCATTTCGCGGGTTTCTTCCGTGTCCAGATCCATTCTTGGAATGCCAACATTTCATGAACCTTGCAATTCACTTCATCAGGGCGAGGAGCAGCCTGATACAGTATCGAGATTGCCAATGAGATGGTTAAATTTAATTCTATTTACACGCACTCGTATAAGGTCATCCACTTCATCGGCAATCTCGATGATGAGATGGAATAAATATAATTAATTAACGTGTAACTGAGTAATATCGATAATAACTGTATCATTTTGAACCTGGTCTGAGGAGAAGGAGACAGTCTCCTCAACTTTTTTGTTTTTTTGTTTTAGGTATTTGTTTTAGGTAATAGCAATGCACTGTAAAAAAAAATTATCACTTCACTTAATCACAGAAATGTGCAAAAGTATTCTATCATTTAGCATTAATGGTAAAATATTTTGCACATTGGGGAAAAAATCACTCACGTCTCGCACGCAGACAAAGCAGGACAAACTTCTTCTTTGTGTCAATGGCCCTGACTCTAACACAGAATTGACGGCCAGAATCGAAAATGCCACTTATGCAGTGAGTAACAAAAAACAATGTGTAGAATTCGAAAAAAGAATAACATAAACTCAATTGCACGTTTGAAGCCCGTCACACTTTCCAAAAACGATAATGCAATAACATCTGATTGCGCACGAATAAAGCAGGACTGATGCTGAGAATCAACCTTCACCGCAGCGAGCCTGTCTAGGATTTATCTTTAGGCGACAGTATATATAAAACAATTGTATAAAAAACAATTCAGATCATAAGTGCCCTCACGAGAAAAGTTATCGCTTATATCGTTGCAACACTCTTTATAAGAGTAGCCTAATATATAGTAGCCGCGATTATGTGCGCCATCGAATTGCTGAAAGTTCACGCTGCATGTTTATTTTCACACCTGTAATTCTTTTTTTCTTACGGAAAGATACGTTCATACATATACATTCATACATACGTTTATACATATGTTCATACATATATACGTTCATACATATATATTGGGAGTACAAATTAGTTCGGTCCGTTTCTCTAAAGATAGCTCCAGCTGTTGTGAATGGTTCATAGTGACAGCTGATTTTGGCGGAGGTTTCTTTCAGAGAGGTTAAACATCTGCTAATAATATTCAGTTTATATCACTTTGAGTTTCATATAAAAATCTTGATTTTTACTGTTTGAAATGTAAAATTTTGTGTTAATCAAGCAGCATTTGCGGAAGGTTTTGATTTTCTGCTTTAATTGAAAGAAAAGTGCGGCTGAAGCCCATCGAAGTTTATGGTGACACTGCTTCAACTGATAAATCATGTAGAGAATGGTTTCGACGTTTCAAGGATGGAGATTTCAGCGTTGAAGACAAGCCTCGCTCTGGACAGTCAAAAAAACTCGAAGACAAAAAATTAGAGGCATTACTCGAAGAAGATCAGAGTCAAACACAAGAGGAGCTTGCAGAATCATTGGGAGTAACTCAACAAGCCGTTTCTGTACAATTGAGAGCTATGAGAATGATTCAAAAACAAGGAAATTGGATGCCTTATGAACTGAAACCGAGAGAAAGGCGATTTTTAACTTGCGAACAGCTGATTCAAAGACAATATAGAAAAGGTTTTTTGCATCGGATTGTGTGACTGGAGATGAGAAGTGGATATTCTACGAAAATCTCAAGAAAAAAAAATACTACATTAAGCCCGGTCAATCGTTGTCATCGACCTCAACATCAACATTACGGCCGACATTCATGGTTAAAAGATCATGCTCTGTATCACAAAAGGGTTTTGTTTACTATGAGCTGCTGAAACCTGGCGATTCCATTATAAGCAATCGATATCGGTTATAATTGATTCGTTTGAGCTGTTGCGAGAAAAACGGCCGGAATACGAGCAAAGACATGATAAAGTTATTCTTCTTCATGACAATGCTCGGCCTCATATCGCTAAAATCGTAAAAAATATTTGGAAACGCTCAAATGAGATGTTTTACTGCACCCGCCGTATTCTCCGGACATTCCTTCTGATTACTGGTTGTTCCGAAGGATGCAGCACGATTTGGCAAGTCACCGGTTCACTTCTTTCGAAATCGAAAATTGGCTCCAAAATCGTCTCCAAAGATGAGTAATTTTTTCGAGATGGAATTCG